AAAGGATGTCCATGTTGGGCGAAATCGGCTGGTGATTCTGACATCAGTGAATTGGATCCGTGGGCGAAACTTCTAACGGTAGCGGACATAATTTGACTGTAGCCCGACGAATAAAACCCTTTGCTGTACGAATTGTGGCTGCTCGTGTTATGGAATCGGTTCCAGGGTGTAATTCGCTGACTCTGCCAAGTCGCCAGTGCAAAGGAGGAGCGTTATCTTCCTTCACCAGTACTAAATCGCCAATCTTCAATGTACCTATGTTGGTTTTCCATTTGGTGCGGCGCTGTAACTCGGAAATAAACTCTTTAGACCATCGCTTCCAAAAATTTTGTTGTACCTGCTGTATTCGCTGATAATGGGAAAGACGGTTCTCGTTGATATCCGTTAGATTTGGACATGGTACCGTTGTCATTGTTCGTCCGATGATGAAATGAGCCGGGGTGAGCGGTTGTAAATCTAGTGGGTGGGTCGACAAAGGGGAAAGAGGCCTAGAATTTAAAATGGCTTCAATCTGGACCAACACGCTATAAAATTCTTCATAAGTTAATAGTGCATTTCCGATGACTCGCTTAAGATGATGCTTCGTGGACTTTATACCTGCTTCCCAAATTCCACCAAAATGTGGTGAATAGGCGGGTATGAAGTTCCAGTTAATCCCTTCTGTTACCAAACGATCTTGCAATTCGCTCTCGTGGGACACAAGAAATTCTCCGAGACGCTGTAGCTCCGAATAAGCTCCAACAAAATTAGTGCCATTGTCAGACGCAATCTTATTGGGTCGTCCACGACGAGATGCGAATCTACGTAGAGCCAAAATAAAGTTTTCCATGGTAAGGTCTGCCACCAATTCCAGATGTATGGCTTTCGTCGCCATGCATATGAATAAACATACATATGCTTTAGAAGTTTTGCATCCTCTTCCCTTGCGATCCTTTATGTTGAAAGGTCCAGCGTAGTCTGTGCCAACATTAGAGAAAACAGGAGCCGGTGAGACACGATCCAGTGGTAAATCCGCCATTTGTGGTGTGATTCCCTTGGGATTGCAATGAAAACATCTGACACACTGGTGTACGACTTGCCGAGCTAAATTGCGTCCGGCGATTGTCCAATACCGTTCTCTGGTATGTGCCAATAACGTCTGAGGACCCACATGCAGCAATCGTCGATGTTCGCTTTCAAAGATGAGCCTTGTGAATGGATGCTTGGCGTCGAGTATCATTGGGTGCTTCTTATCGAAATCGAAATTTGAATGTTTCAAACGTCCTCCCACTCGAAGCGTACGGTCATGATGTATGAAAGGGTTCAAATTCAAAATCTTGCTTTGCGTTCCTAACGTTTTACCTGTAGATAATGTACGAATCTCTTCTGAGAACGAATCCATCTGCGCTAATCTTGTTAATGCGAGTGTTGATTGACGAATTTCTTCTGCGCTGAGTGGACCCTTTCCTGGTAATTTATATACCTTTATGTTAATAAACCTTTGGCAGAAAGCCACAATTCTCACTAATCTCTCCAGTTTGGAATAAATTTGAAAGTCAATGAGAGGTACTTTGGTTATCGTATGCAACGTATTGCCCCTCAAACTTAATTCCTTTACCTCAGGTAAATCCGCGATCACCTGATTATTCTGTGTGGGCCAGTCATCCTCGGTTTCTGTTAACCATTCTGGTCCATGCCACCATAGTCTTGTGTGACTTAACGTCTTTGGGAATACTCCTCGCGACAGCAAGTCAGCTGGATTATCTGCTGATGCAATATGCCTCCAGTTGTCTATCGAGGATTGAGTTTGTATTTCCGCTACTCTGTTACGCACAAACGTTTGAAGCCGATGTGGTTCAAGTCGTAACCAACTAAGAACGATTGTGGAATCAGTCCAATAATACACAGAATTAATGTGCACGCTGAGAGCTGCCTTGACTTTAGTTACCAGTTTCGTGAGAAGATGTGCAGCACTTAACTCAAGTTTAGGGATTGTAAGTGGTTTCAGTGGTGCAACTTTAGATTTGGCACACAGTAATCTTGTGAACGTTGATCCTGTTTCATTGATCGAACGTATATACACGCATCCTCCATACGCAGCCTCGCTGGCGTCTGAAAAACCGTGAATTTCAATATGTTGTGGTCGTGAACAACAAACTTGCCGAGGGATACTAAACTTGTTGAGTAAAATTAATTCTTTGACGAAGTGTGACCATTTGGTCTGTAAATCATCCGACAGTACGTCATCCCATGACACTTTCAATTTCCATAAGGTCTGCAACATGATCTTTGTGATAATTATACAAGGACCGAGTAGTCCCAATGGGTCATATAATCGTGATGTGAACGATAATATGATTCGTTTAGTAATGACCTCTGAGTCTGTTTCCGAATTGACATGATAGATCAATGCATCATCAGTACATGACCATGACAATCCTAGCGTTTTAACAGTTTTCGTTTCGTCGAGTTTGACAAATGAATGATCATCGTCAGAGACTCCAATCCTCTCAAGTATTTGAGAATCGTTGGACATCCACTTGCGTAGGTCGAAGCACCCCGATGATAAGATATGCGATATGTCATTAGCTAGTCGAATCGCTTCCTCCTTTGACGATGCTCCAAATAGCAGATCGTCCACATACATGGATTTGCGTATGATATTTGCTGCTTCAGGATAAGTTTCTTGATGTTCGTCGGCTAAAGCGAATAAACATCTGATCGCCAGAAAAGGACTTGATGCCATTCCGTATGTGACAGTATTTAGTTCATATGTGTCTATTGGATTGGATGGGTC